GAGTAGGAGAGTCTGTCATTGCAAGAGAAGTTCAGGGACAGAGCTGCTGTGGAAAGGCTGTGGAAAAGCTGCTGGGCTCAGGCCGGGCATGGTCACATGTGTGACTCTGCGTGGTCGCTTCAGCCCCCAACCCCTGGGCCTGGTTCCCATCTGTGGAGCCAGTGCTGTGATGTTACAACCCTCTGGGATGATGATGATGATGATGGTGATAATGGTGAATCCTAAGTGACTGAAACCCTGTGCTGAGCAGTGCACATGCAGTATATTTTTTTAGTCCATACAGCTTTATGGGAGAATGTTCTGGAAGTAGATAGCAGTGATGGTTATACAACTTTGTGAATATACTAAAAGTCACTTTAAAGGGTGAATTGGCTGGGCGAGGTGGCTCACACCTGTAATCCCAGCACTGTGGGAGGCCAAGGCAGGTGGATCACTTGAGGCCAGGAGTTCGAGACCAGCCTGGGCAACATGTCGAAACCCCATCTCTACTAAAAATACAAAAATTGCCCAGGCATGTTTGCCCACACCTGTAGTCCCAGCTACTTGGGAGGCTGAGGCGGGAGAATGGCTTGAACCCAAGAGGCAGAGGTTGCAGTGAGCTGAGATTACAAGACTGCACTCCAACCTGGGTGACAGAGTTGAGACTCCATCTCAAAATAAATAAATACATAAGAAATAAGTGGTGAATTGTACGTTATTAGAATTGTGTCTGAAGAACGCAACTGAACACCACCTATGTCCTTGAGTCTTTACCTAGTACCACGTTAAAGGCACTTTAGAAACGGTGGCCAGGACCAGCTCATGTGCTGCTTGCTGGGAGCTCACACCAGAAGAGGCTGGTCCTGGCCAGGTATGGGGGCTCATGCCTGTAATCCCAGCACCTTGGGAGGCCAAGGCGGGTGGATCATGAGGTCAGGAGATTGAGACCATCCTGGCCAACATGGAGAAACCCTGTCTCTACTAAAAATACAAAAATTAGCCAAGCTCCATGGTGGGCACCTGTGGTCCCAGCTACTCAGGAGACTGAGGCAGGAGAATCACTTGAACCCGGGAGGTGGAGGTTGCAGTGAGCTGAGATTGCACCACTGCACTCCAGCCTGAAAAAAAAGCATGCCTTTTTTCCAAGAAAAAAAAAAAAAAAAAAAAAAGTCGGGTCCTGCTGCTTTTGGGGTGGGCAGCAAAGGCCTCAGGGTCCAGAGAGAAGCAAGCCAGGCAGTGACCCCGGGGCTCCTGCCGCAGGGCTAGGTCCGAGCCCCCGCCTTAGCCTGGCAGTGGGTTCTTACTCAGCAGATTGTAATCTAGCTTTTTAAGAAAGAAAAATGTTTTGGTTTGCTCCAGGAGGGGGCTTAAAAAACAAAAATATTTCCCAGCATTAATCCAAATTTGCATATTAAAGTCACTTTTGTATTACAAGAAAGGTAGTGGTTTGCAAAGGAGTTGATAAAAGATACCGGTCTTAAAAATTAGGGCGGGGAAAGTATTGTATTTTTATTTTATCTTCGATTCAGGGGGTATATGTGCATGTTTGTGACATGGAGATATTACATCCTGGTGGCGATTGGGCTTCTAGGGTGCCTGTTACCCAAATAGTGAACCTCACACCCCGGAGGTCACCTTTCATCCCTCGCCCCTTCCCGCCTCCCTGCTTCGGAGTCCCAGCGTCTGTTTCGACTTCGTGTTCCTGGGCACCCACCTGTTCAGCCCCCACTTGTAAGTGAGAGCAGGCGGTGTGCAGTTTTGTTTCTGAGTTAGTTCATTTGGGACAAGGGCCTCCAGCT